TTAGGACGATCCTTATTATTGGAAGCACTGCTCGGTTCAGGTAATTCGACGTTGTATTGCCGAAAACGAGGTAAATTCAATTTTATAATTTTGTCATTCTTACTCTTGCAGTGGTCATTTTGGGCCAAAATATACAGCCCATTAAATTCTTGAATGTGGTTTCTATAGGCCTAACGTCTTTCGGAACTCTTATATGTTTTGTAAAACTTGTGAAAGATGTCAATGTACAGGTAATTTAAGCTGTAGGAATGAAATGTCACTTAATTCTATACAAGTTTGTGAAATTTTTTTATGTTTGGGGAATCAATTATATGGGCCCTTTTACTTCGTCATTTGGAAATACTTATATTATTTTAGTTGTAGATTATATTTCTAAATGGGTGGAAACTAAGGCCACTCGAAATAATGATGCTAAAACTACAGTTAATTTTTTGAAAAATATTTTTTCCAGGTTTGGCACGCCACGGGCTATAATAAGCAACAGATGAACACATTTCATAAACCGAGTCATCGAGTAGCTAATAAAGAAATTTGGAGTAACTCAAAGAATTGCTACTGCTTACCATCCACAAAAAATGGACAGGCAGAAGTATCAAATAGGGAAATTAAAACAAATCTTGAGAAAATTGTTAAACCGGACAGAAATGATTGGAGTTTAAAATTAACCAATGCACTTTGGGCATATCGAACTGCTTATAAATGTCTCATTGGGATGTCACCATATCGGCTTATTTTTGGTAAACCATGTCATTTACCAGTTGAGTTAGAACATCGTGCTTATTGGGCCGTTAAACAATGTAACATGGACATGGATGCAATTGGTGAAGCTTGGAAATTACACATTCAAGAACTTGAGGAAATCCGAAGAAATGCCTATGATAATGCTCAGATATTTAAAAAAAAAAGAATTTCACGATAGTAGAATTTCTTTTAAAACTTTTTCGGCAAGTCAAAAGGTTTTATTATTTAAGTCCAAATTTAAACTTTTTGCAGGAAAGCTCAAATCAAAATGGCTCGAACCGTTTACAGTAACTCAAGTATTTCCTCACGGTGCTGTTGAAGTTGAAGATAACTCAGGAGTTCGATTTAAAGTTAACGGTCGAAGACTAAAGCCGTATTATGAAAATGCACCGGTTGGTCTAATCGAAGAAATCAATTTAGAGGAACCTACACTTTGAAAAATCAGGTTGTCGAGCTAACGATGTTAAACAAAAGCACTATGGGAGGCAACTCATTTTGTTCTATTTTTTTTCATTTTATTTTTATTTATTTATTTTATTTTTTAGCAAACTTTATTTTCATTCTATTTATTTTATTTTATTTTAATTTATTTTATTTTTCTCTAAACAGATTCGAATTCTGATCGAATATTTCTTACCTTCGCCCGGGCTCGTCTCGATGTGACAGTGGCTGCGGTTTCTACTAGATTGGGGAGTATTCATTTTCACTCTCTTTGTTTTTAAATTCGACATACGTTTTGGGACAAAACGGATTAAGTGAGAGGGGAAAGGATAAGCATGTGTCAATTTTTTCCTTAACTTGTTTAATTGTTTGAAATTGAGTTATTCTGATGTTGATATATTGGGATCGTTGGTTGCTAGTCGTGAATTTCGCTTTATACTCTTCCTTCCTTTTGGATTATGACCATGTTTTTGATCGAATTTAATTTGCATGATTGGTGATTGATATAGCTGGTGAATCTTTTGTTGAGTATTGATATTTCATGCTTTTGTCGATAGAGATTAACCTGACTCAATGCATATAAATTTTTCTTGTGAGATTTGAGCCTAACGAGCATACATTTTCTTTCTTGCTCATTGTTTGACTTGTGTGTGCCAAACTAATTAGGATATTCTAGAACTTGTAATCACAATGCATATCAAGACTACATGTTAAACATAATGTTTTAATGTGATAGGGCACCTAGGATAAACCCACTCTTCCGAAAAAGCCTACTCGTTTATATATCCACTAGTGAACCACATTTGAGCCTATTTCCCTTTATTTGTTTTACACCTCATAATTAAACCTGAAACCTTTCTTTTTAATTTTCCTCTCTTTTCACACCCTTGCCGAGACTTGAGATCTTGTATCATTGTTGTTCCACGAAAAAAATTCAATGTTTCAAAAAAAACAAGTTGTTCACTATTTCGAATAGCAAAAAAGTACCCTTTGTTCGGAAAAAAAAAACAAAAAAGGATAAGGAAAAATCGATCGCTTCAATTGTCTTTCATCTATTCTTTTTCCTTGTTTTGTTCTTCATTGCGCTTCATGTTAATTCGTGGATTGTTCTTAATTATTTTGATCTCTTGTTTCGGTACTTGATTATTACATTATGTTCATTTTTCGTAGTGGAGACTTGATTGGATTCCAAGCCTATGGTAATATTTTGGTTAGTTTCGGTTTGAGCGATTTTATTTACCTCAAACACTTTGAGCGGATATGTTTTAATCTTTGTGAGGTATTGAGTCATGTTTCATTGAAGTTAGCAATTAATTGAGATATCTTGCTTACTTAAAATTTTCTTGATTGTACCTTTGCTTGATTGTTACTTGAATTCGGAAAATATCATGGACTTAGTTCGATTGGAAGTTTAAGGAATAAATTGAAATTGAAGATGGCAACTTGTGATTTTGATGTATTATTTGATGATTGCTTGAGGATAAGCATTGAATAAGTGAGAGGGAATTGGATAAGTGTTTAATTTAGTTAATATTTTACTTTTAAATTACTCTTTAATCATTGGTTTCTGTGGCTTAATTGTTCATTTTGATTCATTTTCTGTGCAGAATGTCAGATTCTGGAAATTGCAAAAAAATGACAGAATTCTGCATTTTTTTATTTTCGGAATCAAAGTTGGCTGGAATTCGGATTTGAATTAAACTCAAGTTTAGGATAATATTTTAAACAATATATTTTATCTTTGTATTTTAGTTTAAATAGGTTTTAGTATTTTAATTAAGTTTTAGGATATTATTTTTATATTTTATCTTTGTTTTAGGTATTTTAGTTTAATTAGGATTTAGAATACTATTTTAAATATTATTTTTTAGGTATTTTAGTTTAAATAGTTTTAAGTGTTTTAATTAGGATTTAAGATGTTTTAGCTTATTTTTAGGAATTTGAAGGTTATAAATATCCTCTCAGGGTAAGCCTAGAAACATATCTCTCTCATATGAGAATAAAATCTTCTTTTTCTCTCAAGCTTTCTCTCTATTTTTCGCATGTTTTTCAATTATGCTAAGTATGACATACTTAGCTAATTTTCTTTCAAGTCGAAGACTAAAGGGAAGACTCAATTCCAAACGTGAGAAGTGTAAGATACTTAAATCGCTTCAGAATTTCTCTATGTTTTTTTAGCTTACTTTTCAAATCAAAACAATTTCGACATTTGTTCGGATATTGTTATGGTTAACGTTTGAAGAAAGATTTTCTTCTTGAAGCATATTCAACTTCCCGAGAATACACTTAGCAAAATTGTTTGCTAAGAGGAAACTGAGATCGAAATCAGTTATTGTTGAAACGACACAATCCGAGTTGGCAACGAAGAATTGTTCTTATAAGCCGACGTGAATCTTGAAGTAAAAATCTATTTCGATGATCCGAGAAATTTGAGGCAAAGCTGAAGTCTGAGGCAGCTTTCGCTATAAGTTTTTCTTTATCTCAATCTCTTAGATTATTTATTTAATTATTTTCTTTTATTTAATTTTTATCTTTTATTTAAAAAAAACAACTTTTAAAAACTTCTTTTTGTATTTACTACTATTATTTATTATTTTCCCTTTTTATTTATTATTATTTATTTTATTCTTTTTAAATTATAATTAATTATTTTATTATATCTTTTTAACTTCATCTGGAATTCTATCCTCCTCTAAATCAAAAAGTTTTACTAAATCACAAAAAATCAGTACCTGTGTATCGACTCTGCTTCTCTATCCTACCTTTTCCTTTTTATTTAAGAAGCTAGAATTATTTTGATAGCAAAACGACTGTTATCATAATCCCTCAACTATATGAAGTTACTTTGTTGAGTCTCTTGACTATTAAAAGTTACAAAATAGTCACCCAACTATTCATTATGTTTCAAACCTATCATTTTCCGTTGAGAAATTAACGACATACTCAACTAACGTTAATTTGCTGATTAAGATATAATAAAATCTAATATTATTATCTCAAACAACTATCATGTCTCAATCGACATATTAACATCTAACTCAAACGACCGTCAATTTTTTAATGAGAAATGACGAGTTTGTAACATAATATATAGTCAGATGATCATTTTGTAACTTTTAATAGTTGAAGAATTCAACAAAACAAGTCTATTATTGGAAGACTGTTTTACAACTTTTAATAGTCGAGAAACTCAATAAAATAATATTCTATAATCTGATAACCATTTATGTATTTTACCTTAAAAAATATATGAAATTCGGGAACGTGTCATCTAGCATGCTACGTTCAAAATCTCCATAAAATTATCTTTAAAAAAACAAAAAAAAATAGGAAAATACAAAATTTCTCTAAATTTTAAAACATTTTAAATCTATAATTTTTATGATTTTAATTTTTTTTCGAAATTAATATATTATATGTCAGATGGTACATTTATAAAATATGACATGGCATTTTTTATAACGGAAAACCATATCGAAATAACATGCTTCAGGAAGGAAAGTTTAAGGCCATCATGAACTAAAAGAGCTCAGGTACCAAAATATTAATACGGTACAAATTAAAGGGCTAAAATACCACTTAATCCTAAAATAAATAAATAAAATTTCCTAATATTCTAGAGGGGTAAAATCACTAGAAGGATCCAAAAGAGCATAAGAGGCTGCTTTAAAACAAAAAAGGAATAAAAATAAATGGTAATACAATTCAATGTTTATCAACAATCACAAGAAATGGTCAAAATTCCAAAATCTTCATAAGAAATGCATGGAATTACTGTTGTATCTTTGCTGTTTGATTTTATTTGACAACCAGTTTCTCAACAACATGATAACAATCATTCACAGTTCCAAATCAAACATGGCATCAACACACAACTCTTTGTAAGAACCTCAATTTAGCTTCACATAGATTAACCAACCGTCAACTACAATTTAACAATGCTGTAAACTAGACTACTACTCAAGCATCAAATATGGCTTGGTAAGGTAAGCTGGTTATCACATGAAAATTGTCGGTAACCAGGCGGATGAAGACTATAGGGTTAGAGCACCTAAATTCTATTGACCTAAATCATTCAATTATATACCTTTTTTTTCCCATCTATTCTGACTCACCAGCTGATGCTACCTCCTCTTCAAGTTAATGCATCGATCTCCGCAAAATAGGCTCTCTGCTTGTCAATGAAATCTTGGAGCAAGTTTACCTCAGCCCTCTCTCGGTGTTGTTTCTGTGATAATGACATAAACCAACGAGCTTGGTTCAATGTTATATTAATAATAATATTTTCGGGTATGCATATGCGAATGGAAGAAAAAAGTGCAATATGACTTGATGCAAAAGTAAACAGCAACATACAATTACTATTAGTAACAATGTAACTAAAGCAAAAATGCTCTCGATACCATTCTTAACCATAGTGTAAAAAATTTCACAAACCGAAGATCAGTAGCATGATTATTCATTCAGTTTAAATTAGATAATGAAACTAGGGGAATCTTTAAACGAACCTTTCTAAATGGCATACGGCATGATTTGGAGAGACCAATATCATCTTCTCCATATCTTTTCTTCTACATTAAAGACAAGGAGAAACACCATTGATAGAGGAAACCAAGGGAAAGCAAGCATTCAACGGAAGATCATCATAATCTGATCAAACATTAAGCAACAGAGATCTTCTGGATTAATGAAACAGGGAACATAGTGGTTAACATTGATAACAGAAAGTATCACAGATGAATAAATGAGTCAAGGAAATAAAATATTTGAATATGCAATACTGTAATTTAAATAGCTAGATTGGACATGCTATCAAAACATACAATAATTCAAAGATCTTTAACTTTGTTACTCGAAGCATTTTGTTCGAAAGTCATTATCTCACTGCTCAAATAAAAGTTGGTTTAGAAAATAAAATTGACTTTAAAAGAAAAGTGTTGAAAATAGGGCTAATAAAGTGAAGTAAAAGGAATTAAGTGACGAAATAGAGTTAGTATTATATTAAAATACTAACTAATTATCCTTATCTATCGCATAACCTACACTCCCCATGAAGTTGGCGAGTAAATGTTGAAAAGACCCAACTTGGATATAATCTCATCAAAGGTAATTCTGGGAAGTGCTTTGGTGAGAATATCTGCTAACTGATTCTTCGTTAAAACATAATTGAGTTTCACTGTTCCACCATTCACCTTTTCAGAGATGAAATGTCTGTCAATCTCCACATGCTTCGTTCGGTCATGATGAACTGGATTCTTTGCAATACATATTGCAGATTTACTGTCACTTTGAAGTTCAAACCATTTGTTACCACATAACCCAAGCTCAATTAACATTCTTTAAAGCCAAATTCCTTCGCAAATTACAAGTGTCATTGCTCTAAATTCTGCTTCTGCACTACTTCGAGACACCACCGCCTGTTTTTTACTTCTCCAAGTAACCAGATTTCCCCAAACAAATGAACAATAACCAGTTGTAGATCTTCTATCCGTTAATTTACCTACTTCCAGCAACTTTATTTTCCCACCCATCTACTTCCTTCAATGTTATACAACAATTTCCTTTACTTGAACCTTCAACCGATGTTATGTTATTGCATTTTCGTTTAGGACATCCCAATTTCTTTTATCTTACAAAATTGTTTCCACATTTGTTTGTCAATAAAAGTCCGAAATCTTTTTCCAGATAAAGCAGCAGTATTTTCCAGATTCGAATACATCGTCTTTGCAGCACTCCAAATTTCAGCCGTTGTTTCATACATCAGAAAGTTTTCCCCACAGCAGGAATCATGGAATTGATGAGCCATGACATAATCATGGTATTCTCGCTTAGCCAGGTTGAATATTCAGGATCCGTCACAGCGGGAATTGGTGTGGTCTCCAAAAGATATTGTTGTTTGCGCCGACCGGTTATATAAAGGCGGACAGATTGGGACCAAGCGATATAATTGTCACCATTCAATCGGTGACAGGTGATAGAGGCTGAAGAAACATCAGAAAGGTTTGAATGGGGCGAATTAACAAGGAATTCCGAAGTGACCTCCGATGAAGAAGTGGCGGAATTCATGATCGGCGGCTAGATTTAGGGTAAAAAAATCAGCTAGATTTAGGTGAAGGATCGGTCACCTAACTGATAACATGTTGAAAATAGGGCTAATGTAAAGTGAAGTAAAAGGAATTAAGTGACGAAATAAATTAAATGACAAAAGTAAGGAAAAGTGAAAAACTTCACTGTCGTACATTCATCAAAAACAAGTTACAAGTTTAATAAATGTATACAGTAGGTGAGAACAAGTAATTAATTTAAACTAAACTACTTATTAGTTATCCTTATCTATCTAACTTTCTAAGAGTTAGTGTTATATTAAAATACTTACTAATTATCCTTATCAATCGCATAACCTACAGAAAGAGATGTTAAAAAACACAAGGAAAACACAGGCATCTAAAACAAAACTGACTTTCAGCTCATCAGCCAATATCTCCAGAGAGAGATAATAATGACATGGAAAGGAAGATATGGAAGATAAAAGATTAAATTAAATTAGCTAAACCAATTTAACAATTAAGCCAGGACTTTATCTCTCTACTTTCTACTATCCAATATGGTCAACCTATCAAAACCCCAAAAAAATTGGTAATTTGATCAACAAAACTTTGTTAAGTAATTGCTAGTATATGGCTCCTTAAAACAAAAAAACCATGCTAACACATTTTAATCATCCTTCGCCTTCTAGAGTCATCAAAGACTAATTGTTCTCCAAGGACTAAGTACAAAGCCTGATTAAAGGGAAATCACCTGAAGTTTGACATTCGTGTTTCAAGAGAGCAACTCAAAGGCTCCATAATCTCCTTCCCTTTATTCTTCCTTTTTTCAGCAGTACGTCTCCTGCTGTAAACTGTAGACAGCTCAGAAACTACAGAATCGCCATCACCTAAAATCAAAACTATGTATATAATAAATCCAACCAATAATACAAGCATAATTCATAAATCTAGAGATCAAAAAAGGTTAAGGAAACACATATCACCAACCATAGTGTATTTTCAACTATGGTTTCTAATAAGAATAACTTTTTTAGCTCCATTGATGAGAAACTGTTAATCAATTTTTTAGAATTAAAACATCAAAACAAAATGAAGGAACTAAAAACCCCTAGAAAGCCCATAACTCCAAACCCAAAACACTATATTTAAATTCAATCAAAACCCAGAAAAAAAATCCGAGAACCTATCAAAATCACCTGAAACAGAAGGCGATTTGGGCGGCGGAGACAGGGCTGAGCTAGGGTTTAACTTGTTACATTGACTTTTTACCTTGTCTTTCTTATAATTCTTGTCATTGTGAACACTATCATAGATGGGGTGTCTGGTTGTAGTTATATTGGCGTTAGAACTAAGATCTGCACTGCGGTTGTGGTTGAGAAGGGGTTTAAGAGGCAAAGAGTGTGAAGGTCTGGTTTGGGGTTTGATTGAAGAAGATAAGAGTGAAGAAGGCAAAGATGGCGGGATTGTGTTGCTGAGATCAGTGAAGGGTTTCCTTTTGCTGGCATTTCGTCTTGATTTCATCGCCTCCATTCTCTGATAAATCTTCAGCTTCGGTTCCCTTCTGTAGATTGCAGTGATAAGCTGGTTTTGGATAGGGGTGACACTTGGATCGAGCCGACTAAAAAATTTAGAATTACTAAGTTAATAAGTTATATTTTATAATTTAAATTTGATTTAAAAAAATTTCGAGATGAATCGAGTCAAGTTTTTCAATTTTTTTTTTGTTTAAATTTAATTAAAAATATTTATAATATTATAATATCATTTTATTTTAATTTAAATGATTTTACAATACATATATATATCTTTATATCTTTTTTATATGTGATATATATATATATATATATATCATACAAATCGAGATACTCGATTTAAATTTAAAAATCAGTCCATTAATTATTAAAATTTTGAATTATTTGAGTTACTATTTGAGTTATATTTTATAACTTGATTTGAACTTGAAATATTTTTTAATCGAATCGAGTCAAATTTATGAAGTTTTAAATCGAATTCAATTCGATTCGAGTTTTTTCGAATTGAATTTTGCTTTCCCCTAATTTTTGGTAGGGAAAATTCAATTCCTTTCTTTTATAAATTTTGATAAATTAATATGAAATGATAATTAAAACTTATAAACTATAATTTAATAATATTTTTAGTAATTTGATAAATTTAATAATTATTTTATAATTTTCAAAATTTTAACTGTGAAAATTTTATTTTAACATAGTTTAACAAACAATCGTTTTATATATATTTTTTAATAAATTTAATTATAAAAATATATATTCATAATTTTTTAAATTATTGACAATGCATACATACTTTGTACATGCAACTATACGCCTATCACTCTCCAGTGTGCCTATATTCAATAGTAACCAGCAATGATATAAGAATGAATGAATGTGTTCAATAATAACTATCCTACATTTGTATCGGATTCATTAGCATCATTATGTATTATTTTTATAATATAAAAGTTTAGGTCAGGTGGTTCCCCAATCCAGAGTCGGGGAATACTTAAGATCTAATTGAGATTTACATAGGAATTTAGAGATTGTCCACCAAAAATGACGCTGATAAGATTCGAACTTAACCATACAAATTCAAATTCTTGAATCTTAACTATTTATGCCCAACACTCATCCGCAACATCATCATTATGTATAACAGAAAATAAATTCAATGATAAATCACGCCAAGCAGAGACCTCCACTTCTACCTCACCAACTGATATCTAAATCTTGATATAACCACATGAATGACAAACTTTCTCCATACCCCTAATATATAGTTTTGGCTCAATTGAATATAACAACAATCCCAACCAATTTAATACTATTTGGTTGAAACTCACTCTAAACACATTTCCAACCAATTTCCCCATCCATTCGCGATTGAATACAAATCTCTCCTAGCATTCTAAAATCATTCATCCACTTGATTCTTCCTTTGAAAGGATGGTTTTTTCATTTGATTCAAAAATTAAAAAGAAAAACATCAAAAGCCCCCATATCATATGTTAGTTGCTTTATCATGTTAATCAACATCAATTAAATATGGTATAACAAACTTCCATCATTATCAGCCAACAAATAATAAACTTTTTCTGCAAAATCTCTTCTTCTTCCTCCTCCTCTGCAACTTTGTTCAAGGCAACAATGGATTAATATTGTTCATCTGTAGTTCAATGCCATTCATTTTAAGGCCTCCAAGGAATACAATATGCGGGGCCTGCTACGAAGGTGCCATAAATGTAATCACTTTGATGAACAAGCTCGAAATTGATCATCATTGTAAATCAACTTCAGCATCTTCTTCACCAAATTCTTGCAAGGCAAGCAACACCTTCTTTCATGTGTTCTTCCTACTCTATTTATTCAAGCATTCGATCATTTCGGACCACGGGTCAATAGATGTTTTCATGTTCCTGTTACAAATTTTACTACGGATCAATAGGTCTATTTATGTGCTCTTCCTACTGCAATTCAATGTGTGTGATTTGTTTTTGGGTGATAGCAACAGCCACTTGGGAATCTTAGCAAGGGGATAGCAAACATGAAGGAGATGGAAGAAGATCTAACCAAGAAAATAAGCTTCTTGAGTGGACTTATAGTGGCTTTTAGAGATCAAATTCACACTGATATTCAGCTCAAACCTGGCAACGACGGTCCTTCCATGCCAGCTCACAGGGCTTTACTTGTATTTCCCTCTCTTTTGTTTTCTTTTTATATTTTAATATATGAGAAGATTAGGATAATCATGAATAGAATTCCTCTGTCCCACTCCATGCTTCTGTATATTAGTGGCAAATCTAGAAATTTAGAAATGGGTATCTAAAAATTTTAATACTCTTTAATACCTAAATGCTATTCGGATAATCATGTTTCAGGGCCGCCAAATCAGTTTTATCATTTAAATTCCAAGATTAGAGTGGTTTGAGATTTACCAAAATATATATATTTATATCTCCGGTGATGATTTAAAAGTTGAAAAAAACATTAAATATCAAAACAGAAAAAAAAAAATAATTTAAGTTTACCCTAATCTTTATATATATATATATATATATATGATGCTATCAGCCAAGAATGACTACAAATACTTCCGCATCATGATTGTGCAGGGGTTAAAGACTTCTCTCTTTCACCACTTTTCTTGTTATGACTTCAATTCTCTCATAGAGAATTATGGATGACGATTATTCTTTTATTGGTTGCGATTGTCTGTCTAATTCAGGAAAGAGAAACTGTTATTTTTGTTTTGTTTAGGTTCCAAAATAAAGTTAAGTATGTTTTTTTTAATAAAGTTTAGGTATCAAAATAGAACAAAAATAATAGTTTATGTATACAGTGCTATCAATTAAGAATCACTATAACAAAAATAATAGTTTAGAACAGAGGAACTGTTATTTTTGTTCTATTTTAGTACATAATTATTTTTTTAAAAATTACCTTAATCTTTATATATGGTGCTATCAACTAAGAATCACTATAAATAATTCTCTATCATGACTAAGTAGGGATTAAAGACTTTCTTTTTCTATCACTTCCCTCGTTATGACTTTAATTATCTCACATAGAATTACAAATTGACAATCGTTATTTCATCGATTACTGATTTACAGAAATTGTAGGAAGCAAGATCAGAGATATTCAGGAACATGCTAGATTCAGACGGCTGCAAAGCTCCACCAAGTGATACAATTACTCTACCGGAGAAACATGCGTACTCGTTGTTCGAGGCGTCCCACAAGTACGATATTCCCAACTTGCAAGATTTCTGCGAAAGATACATGTTCAGCTCATTGAACGCCTCCAATGTTCTTGAAATTCTTGAGATCTCCGATGTTTGTTCCAACAAAACATTAAAGGAAACTGCTTTGAACTCGATTGTTAGAAAAATGGAGGACGTTGTGTTTTCGGCAACGTATGAAGGTTTTGCACCCAACAATCTTCATCTTGGGGTGCAGATTACAAGGGAATTTTTAATGGATGCCAAAACCAAAAGAATTAATGGAGTTTGATTTGTTAGAACTAAACCATAATAAATATAAAAAATTAATCAGATCTAATCATACAAAATCATCAAGAATTAAAATACTAGACGCAGAAACGTACCTTGTTGAATACAAGTAATACAAGTTAACCTATTTATTGGGACCACTACCTCTTTATATAGACTAAATATTGGGTCAATCTTTTAAATATTTATAATTCTGTCCCTCATTAAATTATAAATACAACTTATGGTATCTACACTTTAATTTCATGACACTTTAATAACATGTAACATAATTGGTCACTTAATTTTTTGTCATACTTTATAATAGCATTGTACATTATACATATGTGCCCACAATTATAAATTTTAATCCAACAATCTCTCACAATTATGATAGCATTTTATATTATATATATATATATATATATATATATATATATGTTTACTAACAAATATACAACCTTATGATCTCAAAATTTGCTATCATATAATTGGTATTCTATAACAATCTCGTTCGTCAACAATATCCATATAAGATCAGAGCGGTCTTCGTCGTATTACTCATGATTAGACTCATCAATGAACACGTATATAAACATAATCAAATGACATAAATCAATCACGGAGTGTAGCATGAAAACTACATGCAATGTTAACCAGACATGCATATTTCCAACTGATCCTCTTTAAACATTAGTGAAATTAAATTTTACCAAAATTAGAGCATGGATAAACTAAAACAAACTTTATTTACGTAGAAAATAACCTTAAAATAAATATCTTTAAACTGAAGTAATTGAAATTGTGTCTATAACAAACAAGCATTAAAATTACAAACTCCCACTAAAATTTGAATATCCTTAAATGAAATTACATCCATATGAGTAGTGTGTTCATGAAAGACCTAGGGTGACAATTCCATAGTAAGCGTGCAATCATGAGTTTGTATCAATATGCCCTATAAACATATAACCACTATGAATGTTTTTTAACAACAAAATCATAATGTCTATGTGCTTAAACTTTAAGATGTTCATGTTATATATGAAATAAATGATTGCAAATTTATTGTCACAAAATAATTTAAGTGAATTTTTTATTCAATCCATAATTAACAGTCCATGTGATAATTTTTTTCATCCATATTCTAATAAGTTGCAGTTCGTAAACATGATGATCTTTTACTTAATAGACCTTCAATATGTGAACATGTAATATTTTTTTTTAAAATGTATCATACAAATCATTAGGATGCTATCCAATTATTCATACCCAAATTGCTTAACTATCTACTTAATATCCCAAAAGTCACACACTACGACTGAATGCGTATAAATTTGATTATACATTAAACTCGCCATTTAATTTTTGAAGCATAAGAAATCCTTTTACATTTCCTTAGTTGCAAAATCATTGTTAGGGCACTGATCAAAACTAAATTTATTTCTTTTGACAATAAGGGATATCACTTGGTTTACTCCCATTAAACTTGCAGTATATACAATCATCAACCAATTTCATCTCAAAATCAAACGAGATAATCACTTAATGAAATTTGTTATATCATTGAAGAGAGTCATACTTAAGCCCATACTTTTGTAACTTAAGGTAAAATGTGAGTAAAAGTTATCATGGTTATCCTGAAAAAGTCTTTCAATGAAACAAGAGGGAAAGTATTTGTAAAATTAATGTCTTCTTTCTGAGTATATCATTTAAATATAAGACATGTCTTATACCTCTCAACGTCACCAATTGCATCCATCTTGGTTTAAATATCCATCACAACCAATCAACTTTGCACCTTCAGGTAATGAGATAAGTTCTCAAATTTATTATCTTGTATAGACTTATACTTTTCTTACAAGGCATCAATCCACTTTTAAGAGCCAAAGCTTTTATGAAATTCGAAAGTTGATTGGATTGTTTTCCATCATTCCATTTTCATCCTTATTTCTTGGAGAAATACAAGATAATCATCTAAATAACATTTCTCTCATCTCGTGAGTCTTCTTAATGACATTTGTTCTTTAAGATTTTTGAATTTGTTCTTCCCGAACATTTTATCATCTTAAATAGTGAGTTGTTCAACATTATCTTGTTGATGTTCTAGATTCACTTCTAGATTAATGACTTGTATAAACACATGAATATCATCAAAAGTGATAATGAGAATTGAATTGTAATCTAATTTATCCTAAAAAATAATGCCTAAAACCTTATTTCTCCCTCCAAACTCAATATCCTAAAAAATAATGTTATAGATCCCATCTTAATTTTTTTAAACTATGAGATCACAAAACTTGTAACCCTTAGATCGTTCAAAACAACCAAAGTAGTTGTTTTCTATTTTAGAGCTTGATCTCTCTTCATATATCCTAACTTACTACAAAGAGAACAAACCCTTTGTAAAATATTGTTATTTCTTTTGAGTTAGACCTTTAACAACTACATTTTTTTCTTTTTCTTTTTTGTCTTTATCTTTATATGCACTTTTCAAATGAGTGCTTTCAAATGTATTATGCTTCAATCTTTCTTCCTCTTGCGCACAAGGAAAAATGAGCTCATATAGAATTCATTTTTCTTTTTGAGTTGATTGAACTCTGTTTGGAAGTGATACTAAAATCGTAACAACAAATAATTCTTTAGAAAACCTCAATCTTAAGTGTTTTAAATCTTAAAGTAATATGAAACATATTCATAATGTACCCCCTTGCGTTTCCTTGACCCTTATATTTTATAGACATCAAAGAAGTCCAAAGCAATGTTATTTCAAACTTATTATTTTTTGAAAAACAATTCTCAATTTCGTAAAAGAAACCATTGGCCTAAGTAATCTTTTCAGATTATGCGCCCCTAAAAGCGTCTAAAAATGTTGTGCTTCATAACCACTAGATTCATGCAAATGACACCTCATAAAATCTCTTCTACCAATTAAGGATGATATTCTCCATGAGAGGTGCAAATTATTTTTTCCTTAGTGGCAGGTCCATGTTCATACAACCAAAAACTTATGTAAGTTCATTTTTCATTCCTTGAGATTTGTTTTTCTAAGCATGGGTATAAACTATATATTAGCAAATATTATGGTAGCAAAAATAAATAAGTAAATTAGTTGAATATAGAACAAAATAAAAATAAAAATAAAGCTCACATTAATATTTAGAATTAAATAATTGTTAATTTCCATCTCAAGATACCAATCATTACATCAATATCAAGTATTTGGACATTAATATTAATAGTAAACAATACTTTTGTTGTAGTAATCCAACATTGACAATAAACTCGAACAAGAGATTAATCTTTGGACTAATGTAATGCTCACATAAAATATTTTATAATTGTCACATATTATTACTACAGTTATCGCTGGAAATTCAACCAATTATTAAACTTCCTTTGAGCTAATTAATAAACACATGAAATACAAGAACACATAATTATCTTGATAATTTAAAGAAATTAATCTATGCAAAAGAGGTCACTTTGGCAATATTTTGTTTCAACAAATTCATTAAAATAACAGACATAGCCAAATTATGAATTTATTAGTTTTATAATAATTTCATTAATAATGAACAATCAAAATTAAAATTTTGAGCAAACCAAATTGATCAAAAGTAATATTTCATAGATTGCATTAACAATATATAAAACCATATAAATATTGTCAACCAATCAACTTCTCTTAATTTTATCTTTCAATTAAATTAAAAGATAACTAAAATAACAATAAATTTGATTAAACTTAAACCTCATTTCAAGATATAATATACATCATTAATATTTTATCTTTTGATGAAATATTTAGTTTAAGTGATATCTGATGTGGTAATCAAACATTGATAATAAGAACATGAAGAGCACTTCCTTTGATCCGATTTATTACTCACATATCAAACCAAATAATTATCACATGCTTATTACCAAAGTTGTATATGTAATTATGTCAACTATGAATCTTCCTTTACGTCGATCAATATTAACATATCTTAAGTTACATGTACAAAGCCTTTATATTATAAAATAAAATATTTTCCTTAACTGAGGTCACATTAACGACTTATTGCTTCAATTAAATCATCTAAAAAATAAATATCAATATTCAAATTTAATATTTCTATAACAATCAAAGGTTAAAAATGAAATTTTTAATGCACTACAATCTCTAAAAGTCAATACATATTAATGAATTAAAATTTTAATCAAATTGATTCGATTATATCAATATCAAATATATATTCTATAATCCATAACAGTGGAAAATCAAAATTGAATTTTCTAACCATGTCATGGTTTTTAAAGTAACTCATAATAAGATTATTTAAATGATGTTATTAGAAACCAAAATTTTAAATTTTTTAATATTTCTCAACTATTTCTTAATCATTGATTCATCCGATTAAAACTAAACATGATACAAGAAACCAAAACCATATCACAATTAAAAAATAATTGTTAGCAATTACACTAAATCGCCACTGCAGTAATTATACAATTACCCCAAAGAAAATATTAACAATCATGCGCCTTAAATCAACTGAATCAGCAACCAATTCCTCTATTATCATGCGATTAAAAAATGTCACAATTAAAGGAAAATATCTAATCTCATAATTTGATATCCACTATAATTAAAAGAAAATCTGTAACCCCTCAGACCGATGCGGATAACCCGATCCGATCTGGAGTGTCACATTAGGGCCACCAGAGCGACTCACTGTAAAAATAGCGGAAAATTTAAAACTTTTCTTAAAACATGTAAAATCATAAAATGATTTATTATTATTCAGAAATAAAACAGGTTTTTTGTAACATCCCAAATCAGGGTCAGTGACTAAATTGCAAACTTTGAAAGTTTTGTGTTCAATTTAGAAATGAAATTAAAAGTCTCGGGATTTAAGTAAAGAATTTTAATATTGGATTAAATAGCAAAGATAGATGAACTAAAGGGGCAAAATGGTCTTTTCATGGGAAAGATTTTTATCTTCCCTTTTTGAGTATTATATAAACGTGGGAAAT